ATCCGAAAGGCAGTAATCGCAAAAAGAAATCGTGGCGCTGTGTCTCCTCATCAAGTAGCGAGAGTCAATTGTTTGAAGGGGTCCTGTAAGCACGCGGGGCAATATATAAACACGGACAATGCATCAAAGACCAATATTGATCAGATTAACAAATTGATATCGAGTGTTGTTTATCTTAGTACGAGTGGAGCGATAAAAAAAACAGCAATGAAACCACATAATTATCGTCAGCACATACGCATGCCACCTGCAACAGTGACAATCACTGAATCTCACCGATAGCGCTGTAGATATGAAAATTTTAAAATCAGTTTAAACGGTGAGTTATGAGATTAAACGGGGTCAACTCGTATATTTTAATATTATATTGAACATTGAAAAAAACGGTCGTAGATCGCTGCGTAGTTTTTAACACGCATCGCTCCACCTGCCCGAATCACCAGAAAGTGTCGTATATAAACGGCCTCCGGGCGCGTTCACTTTTTGTTTTCTATACTTAGCATCTTCATTTGCATTGAAAGAAATTCATTGACGATTTTAGCGATCTTTTCTTACTCACTGGTGCCTCATTGAGCCCAAACTGGTTGACAATGTCTGTTCATCGCTATTACCAATTGTGACATTTCAATATAAAAGTCTCCGTCTTGTCACAGAGCCGTTTTGCCATTGATTAGAAAGGGCATATTAACTTAATTTAATTACATGACGGCGAGCCGTGTTTGGGGAAAACACACCGTGCACCCCTTCTGCCACCGTTCTTTATATAGCTACATTTCACCAATCTGTTTGCAAGTACTTCCTAAATTGTCGGTGCATGAGGTCGTGCCTTTGTCTATTTTTTTTTCTTTTGCCGGGGGGAAATAATCACTACTGCCATTAACGAGTCCGCGACGCCTCGAGGACCGGGGTTGGTCAAGGGTAAAGCGAGGCTTTGTCAGGACGAGACATCCAATATGACATTGATTTCATCTGTCCTTTTTTTCACCATATGAATATAATTATAAGTATTGTGTTGCACGTCAACGAGAGTACATCAATGGATAATAAAGATGCCGGCATTCTGATTGAAATTTTAAATACGACGAGAAAGGCCTATTCATAAGTTGACTCCAAAAAAAATCAAGCATAACACCACGAGAAACTGCACCATTGTGAAACCAGACTTGTCAGTCTAGAGATGAAAATCGAGCCGTCTAAAACATAATGTTATTGTATGGGACATATCCAGCATACAGGTGTAGGGTACAGTCATAGTGCAAAATAATAAACTTTTTCACTTAAGAACGTCATATTCTCGATCGAGTTTTAAGTGTGTTCCACTGATTCGAAGATAAAGTTCGCATTTTTACAGAATATGTAGTCTTTAAAAATGTATCTCAAATTCTGACCAATAATAAAAATGTATAAGACCCTAATTCAAATACAAGCATAGACTATTCCATGGGGTGTGGAGTGAACGAATGAACGAATGAACGAACGAATGAACGAATGAATGAACGAATGAATGAACGAATGAATGAATGAATGAATGAATGAATGAATGAATGAATGAATGAATGAATGAATGAATGAATGAATGAATGAATGAATGAATGAATGAATGAACTTAGTTTGGGATCAATACGAAAACAAAAGTGGAATTTTTTTCCGTACACACCTTTCATGACAGTAGTCCAGGCATGAGGCTCGTCCACCGACCGCTTTCTCTTTAGACCACCGTTAAGTCGTTTGTCGTCGCCGGTAAGGGAGGCGCAGGATGTCTGCATGGCCGCCGGTGACATTGCCATAGTGGTTGAGGTAGGCAACGGCGTGTTGATGAACGACGAAGAGCTGAGAGGCGAAGTCACAATCTGCTGCTGTTGTTGGTTCAGAATGTCTTCGATAGAGTGGGACCTGTTGACGCCACCGTGTATGCCATGAAGACGTGACATTGCCAGTGTATGGTCGGTCGGTTTCTGTGGAGTCGGTGCGGGGAGTGTTTGAAGAACTGGAGGCAACTGACTGTGAATCAAGTCCTGCAAAATAATGCACAGATACACAAACGCATGTTTAAAAATATTGTAATTAACTTTAAAGATGACAGTACATATAACAGATTGTTTGCAGGGTTCGTAGTGGACGTATCAACAATCTACTGGTAGAATTTTGATTATTGTGGTGTTCACGTCACAAATAAATCCACAAAATGAGCGACTTTATTTTGAATTTCTTCTAACTGAAAAATTACATAGCTGTCACTCAGTAAATCCTATCGGGACTATGTCGTACTGAATTTAACCTGTCTATTTATTAATAATTATTGTCAAATATTTCAAGTTGGTGTCAAGTTCCAGTTTTCTGCCGGAGAGGACATCACGCAACGGTTTGCCAAATAGTTGCCTTAATTGATTGATTAGTTGACTTATTGATTGATTGATTTCGCATGTCTTCTTACCTTATCGCCTATGCTATTAGTACTGTTACGTAATATACGGTTGATGGAACTGACGCTAGGAATTGTATTTTCATCGCAAACTCTTTCTTGCAACAATTTGTCACGGATTTCCCAAGCAAAGATTGAGGGGTTTTCTTGTTTGTACTGTAATATCTTCTTTACAACTAACGGGGTCGCAACCTGAAAATTTATAGAAAGAAAAAAAAAGGTGTCTTGTTTATGTCTGGTCGTGCTCAGAATCAAACAACGAAACGTGACCATAAATTACTTGTATTCAATGCAACTGTTTTCGATCACGTGCTCACTGACACGATTGCAATTTGATTTAAACGCGATATCTTTCCGTCAGTCGAAACTGGACTTGACATGTGATTTTTTTCTGGATTGGACAGTCGGTGTATTGTCAATTATCGAATAATGTGCGCAGTTTGCATTACAAATCGAAAAATCAATGAATTTCGATGAAAGGTATTTAAATTTATCTTCCTAAGCCATGGAGCTTAAACAATCACAGCATAATAGAAAATAAGCGACTTGTATTATTCTTCTGAGGGCCTGCAGGAGGGGGGGGGGGCTCACGACATTACGCAGTTATATGAGGGTTAAAACGATTAATTTATGATGCATCGTGTGCCCTACCTTAGGCTTACTTCCTCCAATATTTCCTGGTCGAATAGAACCAGTTTCATAATAACGCGTCAGTATTTTGCTCACACAGCCATGGGAGACGAGTAGCTGCCGGGAAATGTCGCAAGGTCTGACACCGAGATGGGCTAGTTCCACTATGCGTGCACGTATGAAATCAGGTAGCGGTCGTCCGTTGACAAAAACGCCCCCGAGTTGGTTGACTCCAGCTTGTCCTATAAATAGCATGTCGAAGGAAAAAAAAGAAAGGAAAATAACAGTTTATATACTGTAAATCAAATAAACACGGCACAGGACCCCGCGTTGTAACGATGTAGACTTGGACACAGTTGAGAGAGTGATAGAGGATTTATGCGGTGAACGCATAGGGCAGCTGCATGTTTGTAACACAAAGCGTACAGGGACCAGTAGAAAGTTTGCTTGTGGTTTAGCAATTACTCGTCTGTCGGGGTCTGCAAGTTGTATCAACACCGTACGCAGATATAGTCTAAAACATATCAATGTACTGAATGCTATATACATTAACACAAATCATGGAATCTTTTGTTTAACGTCTCTTTGTAGCGACGCTCACAGTATTTGTTTTGTTAAAAGTTTACCAGAATCAGCCGATATTGTTCCGCGAACATTAAGAGAGAAGTTTGGTGCAGATTTTATCATTCCGCCATGATTTTTGATATTGTAATAAACGCCACGATAAGATCGACTGACTTGTGATATGAATACGTTATGCACCCCTTGGCTACTGCCACTTAACAAAATCCAAACAATTTTACTTGTTTTTTTTATCACGATTTCAAGTACTCATATTGCGCCAGTATTTTTCTTTTCTTAAAGGGGTCCCGTCCCATCACTACACTGAACGGATTTTAGCCCCAGGCAAGGTGGTCTGACAATGGTTGACTGTCGAACAAAGTCTGTTGCGTATTAGGCTTCCGTTTGAACAGCAGAAAAATAAGTCAGCTTTTCGGTCGAAATGATGAATAATAGAACAGTCTCAACCGGTACTTGTAATTTAGATTTATTGCTCAATTCTGAGTTTTCGGCACTAAATCAAGACATGGTTGTCCAACATATTTAACCATCTGTGTATTTAGTTATATCCCGAAAATCACCTCTTTTCCGTGAATGACCGATTTATTTGAGTAAACATGTCTCAACATTTGGAGATGTCGTTCCTTTTTTGTTGTTATTGAAAACGTTAATAAGCGCAGGGTATAACAAATGAACAGACCAAACATAATTGAAACCATGGAAACCATGCGGGACAATGTCGCATCAAATCATTCATAGAAAATATGTTTGTATTTTTTCTAAGCAAAAGAAAAAAAAAAAGGGTAAGATTGAAAATAACTTTGTGTTTTAAGGTCGCGGCTACAACCGTAAACATATCTCCCGAAACCCCAGAAATTAGCGTGTGTGTTGATATCGCCTTGCCTCATTTGCCTCGTTATGGATCAATGGAGCCTGACACAGGTTAAATTTAACACCGTGAAGCCGCAACATGTCAGCTCCCGATCCAGTCAACTATGCAACTACTGTTACGACTATAGTACTGATTCTTTTTAAACCGCGTTTAAATCCGTAGAAGTAGAAAAAATGGTATACAATTATGTTTATTATCGAATTTAAAAAAAACAACAACAAAAAAACGGATTTCATTAAAGCATAATTTGCATAATTTACAAATGTTTAAATTTTTTAAAATACACTTTAGGTTCAAAATTCAAACCAGATATTTTTATCGAATATCGTGATGTGTAAGGTGAATTGCAGCGATAACCAAATTCATTGAAAACAGTGGGCGATTATTATAGACAATCCAAGGATGACATATATTATACTACTGCCCTCTGGTGGCGAATATGTCAATTACCGTGATTTCACCATCTGTTAATACAGAGGTAATCAGTTTTTATTTTTCAATAAATTTCTTACCCGTATGCGGCATTATTGTAGCGTTTTCCTGGAGTGACAGTATCTTCAGCAAATTTCCTGCAGTTGAGAAAACACAGGGATAAACATCAATTACACGTCGTACATTGCTTTCATTCATAATCAATGAAGACGTCGCGTTTTTTTTTTCACCGTCAATGCGTTGACAGGCCGAGTATAAGTAAGAATTAAATCACAGTTCCTCTCGCGCGCCAGTCTCAGACAATGCAACGTACGAATCATAACAATAATACATCAACTAACAAATTGACAGGAAATCGAAGCAAAAACTGACATGTTAAAATCAATGAATATTCTTTAAATTAAAAAAAGTCGCTTAAACAAAACGAACAAGTGACTGAATCCACAAACGCAATGGTATTCGAATTGTGGTGGAACAGGTGCAAGCGAGAAATGCCGACTTCCTCTTAACAACGACAGTAGACAGAATTTGTTAACAGGGTGAATAACGATGGCAAGTTGATTAAAAACAAGACACGTGAAATTCTTAAATAATATTGCTAACGCAGCGTAAGCGTAGTAAAGCGAAGCTTTCTTTCCATGGTGGTCACGTACGAGGCTCTTAATACACTTAACCCCCGTGTCATTCTGTCTCAGGTCCACCGGTGCGCAAACAACATGAGGAAAATAAACACGGCACGCCGGTATATTAAACTTCTCATCATGATATTGAAAACCCACCACGCAATGATGCAGTCGAGAACTTAACGTGTACGAATTTATTCTATGGCGGCTGTGCTGGAGTCGCTGATGCGATAGTGTCCGTTGGAAGTGTCTGAGTTACTGGTATACCTCTACGTATAAGCGTCTTATACTTGTCGCTAACGCAATCGACCAATCACCGCGAGTCGCTCGTTACTTTGTACCCAATAAAGTATGAATGGCACTGACCAGTAGCACGCTTAGCGTAAACGCTGGGCGTGGCTGAACCTGTGTAAATGTTGGTATAGTCACTATATATGCACTTTAAACAAACAAAACAATCAGTATATAGTAGGTGCCAAGTTAAATGACAATAATAGATCTGTTCACTCAGATGGAAGAATAAACACAAACACTCCAAACTTAAAATACGCTATACTTTTGTCTTTAAACATTAAGTTATGTGTCACATCGCAGTATGAAAAAACAAGGTTCGACGTTCATTAATGTGATGAGGAACAACATATTGTCAACATCATCTACAAGACAGCAGAATCTATATTATCTCGCAAAATATAAAAAGTGGTATTGAAGATGATCGGTCTAGACAAGGCATTCATGTCGATTCCCCATCTGTACTTATATATATTCTAAACAGAATTAGGATCCTTTCAGAATAGATAACACCATCAAACGGTTAGGCCAAAGTTGTCAGCAATCAAATCGAATTGGTTACGCGATTCGTCTTAGCACATTGACCACGGTGAAAGACTGTCAGATAAGCATCGAGAATTCATACGCCAATGAACCACCATGAATTCACATTCACAAACATTGTTTTCATTGGATGACAGATGTTGTCAGGGCCGTTTTACTCGCGTTTAATTTTCAGTAGTATTTTTTTTTCAAAGTAGAAAATAACGAAAGACTAGTTCCATTTTTCGGAGTAGTTCACCATATGCAACCATCAGACTAGTAAGTAAGTGAATGCAACCATAACGCTGCACGGTATGGCCGAGTTCGACCATTACGTATTTTCGCTGGCGGCCGGCACTCCGCGTCGTCGCAGTGTCATCGGTGCATATCGTGACCGATTCGGCGAAACTGGTCAAGTATTGAAATCCTTGAGTCAACGCGTGTCATCAAAAGAAGAAAATACATGCTGGCGATTTTTTTTTCTTTGAATTCGTCAAATAATAAAAGCAACTTTTCGCATAGAAAGTACAATAACATCCCCAGTTGACGGATGGCAGAAGATGAGAGGAAGAGCAAGAGTTGTTTTTTTCGACTTACCCGCAAGAGTAGTAGTTCCGCAGTATAGACTCAGACGTGACAGCGAGCGAGCAAGTGAGGTTCTTCCAAGCCGAACAAGCTTCGAATGTGAGCGTTCAAGTAATGCGCTCGATTAAGAAGCGGAGCACCTGCATCGATCCTTGTGGACCAGGCTTTTTAAACGGTCCACTGCGCATGCCCAATGAGGACCATGGGCGGATATCCGGAGTAGTGGCGAAGCAGTAATAAAGCACTTTTCATAGTTTTATGAACGGAACCAATAATGTGTTTCCACGCTTAGCCTTCATTATGTGACTTTTGGCTTTAATAATACATGTTTAGGTTTGGGATGATTGCAGCTGCCTTACTCCGATGAGCAATCTCAATGCGATGATTTCCTAAGGTTCTTAATGAATACATTCAAAAAACAGTGACAACTCCATATCAATGATAAGAAGTTAGTCAAACTTTGTTGCCATAGTCCCCCCCCCCAAGTTTCTGTACATAACAACACTATTCTGACCACATACATGATGGTCTTACTCGTCTAAACTGTTCTCCCAGGCCACGGTTGATCACGCATGAATATGACACTCTCGAGTTTTCATTTTGAGAAACTGGCGTATTCTAACAAAGAGAATGACACAAATACTACCAGTATAGTTTAGGAACAAACTATGTGATGATTTGTTTATATGTACTTGACGATTCAGTTTCCCGGGCCACTAGATCAGTTCCTCCATCTCGAAGGTACTCAAAGTTGACATCGCCTATGACGCGCGTACAAAAAGAATCTTATAGAAGATCGCTAATAGATTTTCGCCAAACGTCGCTACTTATTTTGTAAGTGAATCGGCACAGTAACGATTTCTCAGGTGCAGTCTGATTCCATAAACTGTATTTGTATCCATCCACCAGACTGTGTTATTTACTTTTTCCTGCATCCTCTCCCCCCTCCGATCCGGCTCACAGAGGAATAAACACCGATTATTGGTAATGGAAACGACGCCGAGCACAACCAGCGCGTGCCGTTGGATCGACAGCTTTACTTTACTAAATCTTAATGCGAAGTGATTTATATGATGGCTACATTAAGGCTTTTGAGAACTGTAGTCCAGCGACATTAACACCTTTAATAGCTCGAACGTTAAGTAGCGTTTCGCCAACTTAGATTCAACTTGGAGACGCGCGGTGCTGACCGAGTGAACGAATTCTCACAACCTCCCTTTGCATGGCACCCGCAACTCGCCCGACCGCCCCCAAATGACACATTATTTTGTAACAGTCTCATTAATTCAGGCGGAGAGAAAAGTCACTGCAATCAAACCCCCATTCATACTAATCTATTAAAACGAATTTTGCCGTCACGACGAACATAAAACGGCATACCAGTGAGTAATTATGTGCGCTCACTGCAAGTCACCGGTTATAAAGTGTACTGTATGAGTGTTACTAGTAACGCTATCCAGTCGTGGGAAAGCGTCCCAAAAGCATATGGTACCAACAAATTGGTGAGGTAAATAGTTTGCGTGTCTGCACTCCGCTTGTAATCTTTCGGCAATGTTAACGTCTTGTTTGTGAGTGCGTGTTCACCTGACAACTTGGGGGCAAGGACACGCGAGTCAACAGTTTTCAAAGGAAGAAACCAAAAAGCTGCGCACATTTTTTATTATCAAAGGGATATTTCCCAACATGCATTGTTTTGTGTTTGTTGTTTTAGGCCTAGAGGGATTTTCAATGCCCTCTAGGTGTACCTTCTAGCACCACTGTGTTACAATTGTCAATAACAATACGCCATGAATACACCGTGCTTGCGGTTATCGTGTTAAGTTTTTGGATGTTCGTATTTTCGTTAAAATCACTGAGAGAGCTCATTATAATGTATAAAGTCGATATCTATTTTTATCCCAAAGTTAAAAGGATTAAACCAATTAACACATTTTAGAGGGACGTTTCATCTTGAGTGTTTTTGTTTTCGTAATCGAATCACTTTTCTAATACTAGTACTCCAGTTTAAAGACACGTTTACACTCAACGCATGGCAGTCTAATTTGGAAACGAAATGTCTTTGTTTACTCACGCTGTATTAATATTTAAAACAGAAACAAAACAATTTGATATGATTGGAATCCAAAAAAAATATATACAGCGTATTGTTGTCAGGTGATCATGAAGAAGAAACAATGAAAGTTCATCGAAATAAATTTTAAAACGTTATGATAAATCCATAACGTGTCGGTAACTGAGAAGCGAGTCGAGTACATGTATCTCATTCCAAGTAGTCGATATGAGTGTCGTTAACATACATAGCCCCGAGGCATCAAGAAATTACCGACTATATCGCCCTTGATTTGGGTCAGTGGTAACGTTTTTTACTGCCGTTTCTAACTTCCTTTGCCTATCCATGCAGCCAAGTCTTCACGCTGCAACACAACGTGAAAATACACGTTTCCTCCCTCATATTTCGAACACCAACAAATAAATACTGTGACGTCATCTAACGCCAACTCCTGATTAAAGTTACCAGTTGGTCGGGCTATATATATATATACATGTATATATATATATATATATATATATATATATATATATATATATATATATATATATATTATAAATTAACACAATATTAACACAAATTATTATAAATTAACACAGTTTATGAGGAGTGCATAAAAAACACACACACAACAAAACAAATATTAGTTGTAACGTTTCGGTTTAGAATTCGGGATCATAAGATAGGCAATAATGCCATTGAGTGTTAGCTTGCTTCATCATATATGAATCAAAACTTAAAAAGCCATGCGACTTCACTCAAATATCCACCTTATAATTTCATAAACCGGAATATTCTTGTTTTAAAAATATATGATAACAAAATGAAAAATAAAAAAGTTATAGGTATGCATCTAAACTTAAAATAGTAAATCTTGCTTAAATGTCTACCCGATATGTTGCCATGACACCGCCACCGTGATGATGGATGACCGTGATCGATTATAGCAGATTGTATTTTAAAAACTTAATATTTTTTAAGTCAGACACACCGGGAGATGACAGCACAATAGACAGGAAGACACGTAATGCGATGTCAGAACGCTGAGGTTTCTCAACGTCATTTCCCGGACTAGTTGACGAGGAAAAATATGATATACCAGTGGACTGTTGCGCAAAATATGAATACTTCATGAGGATCTACAAAGTGCGCATGCGCAGTGCAGTGTTGCCAGTTTCATCGGTAAAATGTAATAAATCATGTTAAGCTATACAGGTTGTCGCATTTCCCTGGGTGTCGCGACTCGTGGGCTGTTGAGAAAAGTACACAGGTGATGTAAATTCAATGCAGTGGACAAATGACCCCCTATTAATCTTAAGTTTTTTATCAACTGATTTAAAATGCCATTCATGATTTTTTTTAGCTTTCCGTGATTGCCGGCATTTAAGCCGGATGCCGCATTTTTTACACAGTGGTTGTAAACTAAATTCGTAGAAATTAAAACTTAGTGGTTAAGTGCTTAAATTAAATCTACTTTTCATTTTTTTCATCCCGTTGCAATAAAAGAATTGAGTCGTCTCTTGTGAAGACCGTAGGATCGTACATGTTTTTCGTTTATGACTACCGATTGTTGTTCATGTGTCTGGCTGGATAAATAAATGATATTTCTGGTATACCTTATGGTGAGCCAATGAGAAATACGGTGGAATTCAGGTATTTATTCGCGTTTCATGGATTCAAAATTTAGTATGACCGTGTAAAATAAATTAAATTAAATTAAATTAAATTAAATTAAATTAAATTAAATTAAATTAAATTAAATTAAATTAAATTAAATTAAATTAAATTAAATTAAATTAAATTAAATTAAATTAAATTAAATTAAATTAAATTAAATTAAATTAAATTAAATTAAATTAAATTAAATTCTCAGTGCTTTTAAATTTTCCGAATGCTTGCATAAGTTAAGAAACTTGAAGAACTACCGTTTTTTAAGTCACTGTAAGAAAATGTAACAAGGTTCACTCCGGCTACGCAGTGCGTGTCACCAAAAATAAAAGGTGTGCGTTACATCTTGGGGCCAAGTTATTGTAAAAACGAAAAACACATTTGAACGGCCTATACGAAAACAATGCTCAACGAACGCGTGATATTGTACACAATAAAAGTGTGGTTATTCGTTTATTCCATTTACCATCAACTATTACAAGTTTGATGTACGAAGTTTGTGTCAACGTAATTCATTATTGAAATGTCATTAACTGTTTAATTAATTTTTCATTTAATTTATCTGTACTTAATTATTTTGTATGATGTCTCAAAAATAACGGTACTTTTCCCGTGACTATCGGCGGTTCAGTGTATTATTGTACTGTCCTTGCCGTCGGTACACCGTGACGATGATGGACAGTATTCTAGTAGTACAAATGATCCTCGTCGGCTGAGTAGAACATCATCCGTTCGTGAAATCTCAAGTAGCTGTGCGACACGAATCTCGTTCCTGTTTTTTTTTATTTAAAAAAAACAAAACAAAAAAAACATTTATTTTCTTGTTTCGCTTTCTGAAAATCCCGGATTCGCGAACTTATTCATTCTCGTTATGTCAACAATAGTTTCAACAACGTCCTTCTCCAATACTTTGTTGTGGTATTAAGGGGAGTTTTTTTTTCATTTGCGCTCTCAATGTACTTACTAAAGGACAGATGAAAACACGTGCGTGTCTAATGTGTATTCTTTTGAGCTCAACAAGTGAATGTATGGATATCGCGATATCAGTTTGGATGAGCCCCGGTCCATCTTGTTTAATGGTCGAATTTACGCTTATATTTCTCGCTGATAAAAGAAGCGATCGACGACAATGAATACATGAATAATGTTATTGGGGGTTTAGAAGAAAGCGCTCAGTTGGTAGTCCACTTTTAAACAATTCCTCCTCCAGCACGCCATAGTTAACAAATAATCGCGTTAATTCGTGACATGTGTGCTCAATACGATAATAGGGAAAGGACGAAATGGAACCTATCATTGTGAATGAACTTCGCTTTGGAAGTCGCAAAGCAGGAACTACTTCAAAGGTTGCTGACACTG